TTTTACGTGTTTTCTTATTATTAAACTCATATATAATTGAATCCGTGTTAAAACTCAAAACAATTCCTTTTTTAATGTATCTAATCAAAGAATCATCAAGAAATTGGTCTATTTTATTTCGAAGCCTGTTCTTGATTATTTTATTAGCTGAGAAAGATATTTCAGTAGTTACTATAGAAAATAGAAGAGTGAGGACAAATTTAATCACTCTATCAATAAGAGGGTAAATAATGGCTAAAACTGTTGGAAATTAGATACTGTTATCCAGTAGCAAAAAATTAGATACCCACAAAGTTATATATATACTTTAATTCTTTTTATGGCTAAAACTGTTGGAAATTGAAAGAGATTAATAATAATTTAGAAGAACACACTACAATTTTTTAATCTCACAATCAATCTCTCTTTCTAACTTTTAAGTGCTCTGGCACTCTCTTTCTCTGTTTTCACTATATTTTGTTTTCTTCTTGCACACTCTTATTTTTTTTTTTTGAAACACATAATCTATATGGCAATTTTTTTTTGCAACTACACTTTGTTTCTTGCTTTTCCAAGAATCCAAGTTACCTCCAAGGAATACACAATACCCATATGTGGATCTTCTATCACTGGGGGAACCTGCCCAATCAGCATCTGAGTATCCTTCAACTCTAGTATGACCTTTGTTTTTATAGACGAGACCTTTACCTGGAGCATTCTTGATGTACTTGAGGATGCAGATCATTGCATTCCAATGATCTTCACAAGGAGAATTCAAGAACTGACCTACTACACTGACTTCAAATGAGATGTCTGGTCGAGTAACTGTAAGATAGTTCAACTTCCCAACCAATCTTCTATACCTTTCTGGATCTGAAAATAGCTCCCCCTGATTTGGCATAAGCTTGACATTTGGATCCATGGCGGTATCGACGGGCTTAGCATTTAACAAAGTTGTCTCCTCTAGAATGTCCATAGTGTATTTCCTCTGGGATATCACAATACCATCCTTGGATTGAGCCACTTCAATTCCCAAGAAATATCGTAGTCTTCCGAGATCCTTTGTCTGGAAATGATGACTGAGATGTTGTTTTAACTGAGTAATGCCTTGATGGTCATCACCTGTAATGACAATGTCATCAACATATACCACCAAATAAATGGATCCAGAGTCTGAGTGGCGATAAAAGACTGAGTGATCAGCCGCACTCCGAGTCATACCAAACTGCTGGACAATGGTGCTAAACCTCTCAAACCAAGCTCGTGGAGACTGTTTGAGACCATACAAAGATTTGCGGAGTCGTCAAACTAGACTGGGCCCCCCCTGAGCAACAAATCCAGGAGGTTGCTCCATTTAAACTTCTTCAGCAAGATCACTATTAAGGAAAGCATTTTTGACATCCAATTGATAAAGGGGCCAGTGACGGATAGCAGCCATAGTAATAAAGAGGCGAACAGACGCCATTTTTGCAACAGGGGAAAATGTATCCCCATAATCTTCACCAAACACCTGAGTGTATCCCTTAGCCACCAAACATGCTTTGAGACGATCCACATGTCCATCAGAGAGGCCTAGCCTACCTGTGCTAAGAAATTCCACAAGAGAAAGTGGGGGACGGCGAGGCTCTGATACCAAATTGAGTAAGAATTTCATGATAAAACTTCTAAAATATGAAGAACAACTCAGAGCGGTTTTTCAGTACAAATAACCAAGTGTTTCGAGAATAATCGTCAATAAAGGTAACAAAATATCTATAACCTTGAGTTGATTCAGTACGACTGGGTCCCCAAGCATCAGAGTGAACCAAACTAAAAAGTGAGGAGGCACGGCGATTGACTCTATCAGGAAAAGAACTGCGAGTATGTTTCCCGAATTGACATGATTCACATTGCAAAGTGGACAGCTTGGACAAACGTGGCACCATCTTTTAGAGCTTTGTAAGACTAGGATGACTCAACTGAGCGTGAATAGTGAGTGGAGAATCTAATACAAAATGAGCATGAGAGGAGCTGGAGAGCAAGTAAAGGCCATTGGACTCAAATCCGCCGCCAATTGTCCTCCCCGAATTTTGATCCTGTAAAATAATAGAATTTTGGGTAAAAGAAATGAGACAATCAATAGAACGTATTAATCGGCTAATGGAAAGGAGATTAAAGGGTGAACCAGGGACATAGACCACATTATCAATAGTAATGGAGGAAAAGAGATGTACTGTTCCAATTCCATGAGACTAAACCTGGGAACCATTAGCCATAGTGACAGCAGGCAAATAACCAGAGGTAGAAAGAGAGGAAAACAAAGATTTATTACCAGAAATATGATCAGAGGCACCAGAATCAAGAACCCAATGACCAAATGATAAACTTTGAGTGAAACCAGCAACGCTATTACCTGTATGCACAATAGTAGCAGTGGAACCAGGGATAGTGAGCTGAGAAATATCTTGAGGAAAGATAAATGAGCTAGAATTAGCAATGGATCAAGAACAATTTGTTGAAACAAAGATGTCGTGAATAATAATGGAAAGAGGATAAATGCTTCCGAAGGGTCGCAACGGACTCAAAACCACAAGGTAAGGATCGATCTGAACACGGAAGAAGAAGGCGATCCTGATAGTGGAAGCCGCGCGTATGTTTCACGCACGTGAGGGTGCTTTAGTGGGAATTTGGGAGCGAAGCTTGGACGAAAAGAACCGCCTCCTTGTGACGATCACAACTGTGGGTGGCTCGCCGAAAAAGTGATCGGTGGTGGCGGTCAAACGGTGGTCCACGACGCTGGCAACCTTTGATGACGGTGGGTCTTGCAGTGTTGGGTAGATCGGCTTCTTCTGAGTCCGTTGATGTACTTTTTGATCAGAACGGTCGCCGAAAAACTTTTCCGGTGGAGGACGGTTGTGGCAGACGGTGGCAGGAAACTGACGACGGTAACAATTTCCGAGAAGATTGTTACTCGGTAGACAATGGGTCTACCGAAAAGATGCGGATCCTGTTAGGCTCTAGATACCATGTTGAATATCAAGAACAAACAGATTTATAAGTAATCTGTGTGTTTCAACTACACAGCAGAGAGCCTATTATATAACTTAAAAGAAAGAAAATACAAAGAGATATACATGATGTGAGACTTCTAAACTACTATTCTAAACTATCATTTACAACAATATATATAATTTTTTTTCATAGAATTTTAGGGGGCGAGAACACACCCTAGCCCCCTCTAGTTCCCCCTCTGCTGTTAGTGGGTTGAACCTTTAACGGAACTTAAACGACCGTCCCATTACAATAACTTCGTATGGACCGCCAAGAACATATTAGAAATTTCGAATTCAAATGCTAAGAATAAACAACTTGAGAGCCACTCCTATATAACTGAAATCCAAAAGAAATTATGCATTCAAGGTTATTCAAGGGTATTAAGGTTTTGTAGCTAATGTGTTTTAGTCGTGATTAGGAATCCCCATCCATTAACACACCGTCCACTTGACTAACCTGAGAAACAAACAAAACGTAAACCTCACGGCACAGTGCTTGGGCACAAAATTATAAAATTTTACGTACTACTATTAGAGCATGTCCTTGGGCTCGGTTTTAAATTCGGACGCCGTCTTATTTTGTTTTTTGTTCTTTAATAATTAATTAATTATTTTACTGAAAAGTTTAAACATTAGCTAAATAAAAACAAACAATTATGTTCGGTCGTTTGAAACTTGTAGAATTATGTTTCATGTTGTAAACGTATTTTATAATTTACGTCTTGGCAAAAAATAATATTTTGTTATTCTTGTGATAAAGGAAGACTTAATCAGATGTCTATTGATAAAAATGTTGTTACAATTTAACATTATGTTATTACTCTAACAATATTCGCAAATTTATATTAATAAGATTTTAATTTATTCTTTTAGGTAGTGTTTGGTTGAAGGTTTATTTTGGGATTCATGGGAAAGTGTAAGTGGATATTGAAAAATATCACATTTGGTTCAAGTTTTTTCAAAAAAAACTAGGTAAATAGGATAGATGGGAAAATGACTTTTGTGTTGATTTTTGGATGAAATTCACTGTTACAGAATACCACTTCAGATGTGGTATTTTGAGATAACTGGAGAAGTGAAAATACAGGTGCAAAGTTTCTCCCAAACATAGATTTTGTATATTTAAATAAATTTTCCTAGTAATATTTCGGTCAACCAAACAACTTTTTTTACATTTTTCTACCAAACTTATTTTTCAACCATTTTCCTATCAATTATATTTTCCTAGTAAAATTTTTTTTCTCCCCAACCAAACACTACCTTACGGCTTCTATCGAAGGATTTGTGCTTTGCCCAAGATATACCAACGAAAGAGAATAAAGAGACGATAAAGGATACATGAGCGTATCAGCTTTTAATTTTAATTACCACATGGTCATCATCGTTCATATACATATTGGCCTATGCATGTATTATTGTCTTTATCAATTTTTAATCTTTACTGCATCGTAAATACAACTTAAAGACATGAAAATTAATGCGTTAAATAAAAAAACGACTAATAAATTAAAGAGGAAGGATATTGTGAGAACCAAGTTTTGTTACTATCAAATGACTACCAATCAATCTCATCGTTAGATCGATTATGTTGATCCAACGGTTATATTTATTTTCATCTTTGTATGGTCATGATTCCCCATATTTTAAGTGAAAATATTAAATATGGAAAATCATAACCATACAAATGTGAAAATAAATATAAAATATTAAATTTGGAGAATCATGACCATACAAAGATAGAAATAAATATAACCGTTTGATCAATATAATTGATTTAACAGTAAAATTTATTGGTAGTCAATTGATAATAACACAATTTAATTGTCACTTCTTGCGAAGTTAAGAGAAAAAAAGAAGGGAATAATAAGCCTACGGCTTTTGCTGACGAAAGCTATTGCAGCGTCCAGATCTTACAGCCCAAAGAAGTTTCTTATCTCTTTTCTGTTCTTTTTTTTTTTTTTTTTTGTAATTTTCCTTGGAGGTAAGGAATTTGCGGGAACATAAACCAGAGATGTAAATTGGGGTGAAAGAAAAAGGGAATAATAAGCAGCGAAAACCCAGAAAAATTCACAATGAAATTTCATCATTTGAGCTTCTTTTTGATTCTATCATCATTCACTGCACTCACTCCACTCCCCACAGTTCAATTCCCCAATCCCAATGACTCCCACACTAGAAGGATCCTACACCAACCCTTGTTTCCGGCGAGTTCTGCTCCGCCGCCAGCCACTCCTCCGCCGCCGCAGCCGGAGGAAACCCCTTCGTCTCCCGACATTCCTTTCTTCAACGAGTATCCAGCAGCGCCGCCACCGCCGGACCTGAACCTGTCGCCGCCGTCAACCTCCAACAACACAACCGCGAATTACCCGACGGCAACGCAACCCACGAAGCCGACGAAGAAAGTTGCGATTGCGATCTCCGTGACGATCGTGACGGTGGGGATGTTCTCCGCATTCGGCTTCTTCTTGTACAAACACAGAGCGAAGCACCACGCGGAGACACAGAAGCTAGTGAGTGGTGGAAACTCTCGGAGGGTTCTAGAAGATTCTCCGAGGGCCCCACCTCCCTCGAGCTTCCTCTACATTGGGACTGTGGAGCCCAGCAGAACGTCGGTGAGCGAAGCCAATGGTGCAGACAGGTCACCTTATCACAAGCTCAATTCCGTTAAGCTGAATTCGGATCATCGTTACAGGCCAAGTCCCGAGTTGCAACCATTGCCGCGGCTGAGCAAGCCCCCAGCCGACGAGACCCAATCGCCGCCGGCGGCCTCCTCGTCTTCGTCATCGTCGGACGAGGAAAGCCGCGAGACGGCGTTTCATTCGCCGCATGGGTCCTCGTCTCTCAGCCACGAGGATAGCTACTACACGCCGGTTTCTCGCCTTGCCAACGGTAGCCCCGCCGCACCGGCCGTCGCTGCTCCGGTGGTTCCTTTCTCCAAGAGAACCTCGCCTAAATCTCGGTTTTCTGCTTCGTCGCCGGATATCAGGCACGTCATCATGCCATCCGTAAAGCATTCTCAGCCGCCGGCGCCGCCACCGCCACCGCCACTACCTTCAATTCAACATCTGCATATGGAGATAGAAGTGAAACCCGATCGTTCCAGAAGGCCGAAATTCTCATCGCCTCCCCCAGCACCGAATTTGACGCATCTTCATACAAACATATATAATACTTCACTTAAACCTCCTCCTCCTCCGCCTCCACCGCCACCGCCACGAAAGGGTTGGTCTCCGGCAATAAGTGTATCGTCTTCCTCTTCTCCAAGAAAGCAGCGACGGTCTTGGTCTCCTAATCAAGAAGTGGGTTCTGGTAACAGTGTGAGTGTGACGAAAGCTTCAGAGGAAGTTGATGACATGGATGGAGCTAAACCCAAGTTGAAGGCTCTGCATTGGGATAAAGTGCGTGCTACCTCAGACCGCGCCACTGTGTGGGACCAGTTAAAATCAAGCTCCTTTCAGTAAGTAAAATAATATCAGTTACTACGTATGATTCTGGGTCTGTCTTATTTAGGAGTTAGGAATTTGAACTCATTTATATTCTTTTATGGTATGTAGGTTAAATGAGGACATGATGGAGACCCTGTTTGGTTGCAATTCCACAAATTCTGCCCCTAAAGAGGCTGTTACTAGAAAATCAGTTCTTCCCACTGTTGAAAAGGAGAATAGAGTGTTGGACCCCAAGAAATCCCAAAACATAGCTATACTACTCAGGGCACTGAATGTGACAAGAGATGAGGTGTCCGAAGCTCTTTTAGATGGTAAGTTCATTACTCATTCTTTCCTATTTTTGGATAGTAATTAGGCTTTAATTGCACCACAGAGGAGAAAACTTTTAAGTCGTATTTTGCAACTTGCTTAGATAGCACCATGCCATGTCTATCATCAGGTTATTTTAGTGGAGATGAAGAACTAGGTAGCATAGGTGCTAATTTCAAAATGTCATATTAGATTCAAACCCAGCTCATAAAACACAGCTGGTCATTAGCATCCTTTAGAAATATAGAACATACACCATGGTAAGATCATGTCGGTTGTTTCTCCACTTCAACTGAATAAGAACTAAGGATCTAAGGTTCATTATCAAAGTCATTTTTTTTCCCCTTTCTTTTTCTGATGAATTATTGTCATTAAACTTGATACTATCGTTGCCATCACAGAGGACCAGCCTATTACTGTAACAATCCTCGTCAACTACCTAGCTTTGCCCTTTTGGGCAGTGAATGTCCAGCTCCCTAAATGCAGTGCACCCCTGTTTTATGAACCATGGCTGTCAGCCTGTCACATGGTAAAGACAGATCATTTTACTGTGTTTGCCGCAGTCCTCTAATCCTAACATATTCTGCCTTTTATTCCTTAAGTATATGATTTTCCTTTTTAATCTTTGTCTTGCTTCCACGTCAGAGTTCCTTTATCCATTCTGTTTCTGCAATTGGCCATCTAACTTGCATAATAATAGATGCACTAATTTCTAATCCCTTGATCCGTGAAATCAACTGGGGATAAACCAGCAACTCTCCCTTATAGCTTCCCTACAAGTCCGCATGGGTCTAATTAGTTAGCCATTGTTCCAAGAAACAGTTCTGAATATAAAATATTGATGTCATAATTGTCAATGGTATGGATGCTTACCATCTACTTATTCTCTTCTAATAGAGGAGTCACATTACTTTTGTGCCTCCACCTCAAATGACACTGGTAAGTGTAACTCAGTAAACCAGAAGAGGCAATAATATCTGAAAGTCTCATCCTTAGTGAACTTTGTCATCCTATTTAACTTTCTGGTTTCCAGTTTATACTAATTCACTGAATAAGCAATAAATTTGTAAAATATGTGCATTATCTGAAGATAGGTATTACATCAACTGATATCTTAGGTTGTTTCCCAGACACATATGTTGTTTGTTTTTACCTTGAACTAGTTACTTATCTACAACCAGCATTTTCACTTTACAAACATCATTGGTGGTGTTGCTTTTTGGATGACACAGGGAATCCTGAAGGTTTGGGTGCTGAGCTATTGGAAACTCTAGTAAAGATGGCTCCAACAAAGGAAGAAGAGATAAAACTTAAAAAATATGATGGTGACCTTTCAAAACTTGGGTCTGCAGAGAGATTTCTCAAAGCAGTGCTTGATGTACCTTTAGCTTTTAAAAGAGTTGAAGCCATGCTGTACAGAGCTAATTTTGAAACAGAAGTTAAATACCTTAGAAAGTCCTTTCAAACCCTGGAGGTGCGGCTAGCATATATCAATCCCTTGTTATCTTTGATATCTTGCTTTCAATTACATTTTGTTCTGCCTCCCGATAAACTAACCAATCAGCTGTTAATATTTGTCAGGCAGCAAGTGAGGAATTAAAGAACAGCCGGTTATTCCTCAAACTTCTTGAAGCTGTTCTCAGGACAGGAAACAGAATGAATGTTGGCACCAATCGTGGGGATGCTAAATCTTTCAAACTGGACACACTCCTAAAACTTGTGGATATAAAGGCAACAGATGGAAAGACCACATTACTCCACTTTGTGGTCCAAGAGATCATTAGATCTGAAGATACAGGTTGTGAATCTGCAAATGAGAATGTTCAAAACCAAACGAATTCCCAATTCAATGATGATGAGTTCACAAAGAAAGGACTGCAGGTTGTGGCTGGATTGAGCAGAGACCTTGGTAATGTTAAAAAGGCAGCGGGAATGGACTTGGATGTCTTAAGCAGCTATGTCTCAAAGCTTGAAATGGGGCTTGATAAAGTGAGGTTGGTTTTGCAATATGAAAAGCCAGATATGCAAGGGAATTTCTTTAACTCGACAAAGATATTTCTGAAAGATGCCGAAAAGAAAATTGACTGGATCAAGGCTGATGAACGGAAGGCCTTATTCCTGGTAAAAGAAGTTACAGAGTACTTTCATGGGGATACAGCAAAGGAAGAAGCGCACCCTTTCAGAGTTTTTATGGTTGTAAGAGACTTTCTAAATATTTTGGATCAAGTATGCAAAGAAGTGATGCAGGATAGAACTGTGATTAGTTCAGCCAGATCCTTCAGGATAGCTGCAAGTGCATCATTACCTGTGCTCAACAGGTACCATGCAAGACAAGATAGAAGTTCAGATGAGGAAAGCTTATCCCCCTAGTGTTGTGAATACGAAAGAAATAATAGTCTCTCAGGATAACAATGAAAGTAAAGGAATTTCCCAATTCAAGTTAATTGCCAGCATTCAGTCATTAGGTATATAACCTTCAACAGGATTTCTACCATTACCACGAGAATCCCATCTGACAACTTTCCTTGAAATTGAATATCAAACACTTAACAGACATGATATGGGAGAGAACAAGCCGTTGACAGAATCCGTACCATCTTTACCATCAACACTAAAAATTCATATGAAGCTGGAATGAATTTTTAAAGGGGAAGTAAATTAGTGCAAGACACGTCTATTTTTTTGTTTCTTTAAATCGAATCCATATCACATAGTTAGTGTAGGTTTTATTAGGTCAGACTCCCACACGTTTTCATATTATATGTATTTTTTTTTGAATCAATTATTAATAATAAATAGCAGTTTTGCAGCAATTCCTTTATGTATGTGTTGGTCTTGGGGAGGAGAGGTAACGTCAAATTGGGTAATTTATTGGCATTTGGGGTGATAGAGTAATCGAGGGAGGCTTCGTATTACATGAAAATTGATGTCCACTGTGGTAATTGCCTACATTGGCTTCATGCGGATGGCCTTTGGATGCGTCTTGCTCCTCACTTAGTCAATTTTTTAAAAAATAAAATAAAATAAAGTGAAACATTTGATTTGAATAAATTTTTTTGAATGTCTTACCTTGTCAAGTTCTCACTGGAATTCATGAAAAAAAAGAAAAGAAAAAGATTATTATAATAAAAATTTAGAAGTACAAGGTTGCTGGAAGTGGAACATTGTTTAAATGAGGAACAGCTTGTTCTATATTGCAATTCACTCTCTCCCTTGCTCTCTCTGAGAAGCAAATATTGTTTAGACTACAGGATTAAGACCATCAGAGATTAAGAATGGATCATCTTGCTTATTACGAGAATGGAAGAGCTGATTCAGAATCACCATTGCACAAGAACCAATTGAATATATATGTTCATACAAATTGCAATACTTGCAAGGCTAATTATTGATACAAGTTTTTCAGCCAATAAAAAATGTCTTTTGAAATCTTAGAAGATAACAATTTTGTCACAGGGAATGGACGTTGTTACATGTCAGCTACACTATCTGGAAGCATACTTGTACAATCATTTTCAATCTAATGATATGAGAAGAGTCAACATTCAACATTATCCACCGCAAAAAGTCCAGGTTTACTCTCTTTTTTTTTTCATTCTACCTTTTTTGCTGGCCTTGAAAAGTAAACAATGTAATAAATAAAATGGTTGAGTGGTGATTTGATAGTCACTTATATTTGACTAACTATAGAATGGCTACGAGACTCAAGATTTCTACTTTCCTGCTCAACTTCTAGTTCTAACCCAAGAAAACCTCGAGCAATACCAGATCTGTTAGTGAATGTACAAGAATAGGGAACCTTGAAGCACTGTAACAATAACAAATCTTAAACTTGACATGTTTCAGACAGGGATCTGTTTTAAGTGAGTGGCAATTGGCATGCCCATATATCCAACCGATAAGCAAAATATCCACTGTACCAGAGAGAGAGGTGTTGTGTTTGCAAAGGTGCCCAAGTACTCAACTATTATGATTTGAAAGAAAACAGTGCAACCAATGACAACCACGAACACATGATTGTCCCATATGCCCTTAAAAACATCTAGTTCCTCCATCTCACGAGAGTTTATCTCATTAAAAACCTGAACAGCAAAATCAACACACATCTAGTAAGGCAAATTTACCACCCTGCAAGTAAAACTGTAATATAGTAGAATTTAATCTTCTCTCTTTCGCCAATTCATTTTTTAGAGTCATACATCTGCCTGAGCAAATTGGTTATGTGAACCTTGGACTGTTAAAACATCCTTGTTTCCACAATCAAACATAGTTCAGCAAACCATTGTCAAGAGAGGTTTTACCTGACAGAAGACAAATGAGTTGAAAATAAGTGTGTTCAAGACTAAATCAGCGTTTGGCCCCCTTAGAAAAAATATCCATTTTCCCATTGTCTGAAGAAACCATATAACCACAAACTGATACAATGATTGTCCTAAGATATTCCTCCACATGACATTGTTGATAAAATCCCCCTTCCTTCCAACTGGTGAACGCTTCATTAGATCATCAGTTGGAGGTTCAGTTGCAAGTGCAAGTGCTCCCAGCGTGTCCATTATCATATTCACCCACAAAAGTTGAACAGCCGTGAGGGGTGCACTGCCTGAAGAACAAATTAATATATGTAAAATCATAAGATAAAGAAGAAAAATGCTTTTTAATTTTATTAACACATTTTTCCAACAATCTTTGTTGGAATAAAAATGAAAGAATGGAGCAGGTAGGTAAGTTCATAATCAAATTAGGCTAATTTTCTAACCTGTCAAGCAGGCTGATGAGAAGTTCACTAGTAATGCCACCACATTTACAGTTAGCTGAAACTGTACAAATTTCTGAATATTTATGTAAACTGAACGTCCCCATTTGGCCACTGTCACTATTGTGGAGAAATTATCGTCTAGAATAATGACATCTGCACTTTCTTTAGCAACCTGTACAAAAATTTCGAAATTAACCGGATTCTGGCATTCTAGTTGACATAGAAGATTCAGGTCAAATGATCAAAGTGAAGCTCATTGTTGTGACCATTTCCCTTTCCCTTCTTTTGGTTTCAAATATTGGACTGGGAATGAATCCTTTTATGTAAGGCTTTTGCATGACTGTCATTTAAAGAGAGATAAATACAAAAATCTTAAATAACTCTCCACAACATATCTCTTCACGTGAGTTGTCATGAACATATCTCAAATAAGAGGATACATTCCCTCTATGACCATGCTTTTCATTGCCTTCTTTAACATGGTAGTATGAAGCATTGCATTGCACTCACCTCAGTTCCTGCAATTCCCATTGCAAGTCCAATGTCAGCTTCATGAAGGGCTGGAGCATCATTTGTTCCATCACCAGTTACGGCTACAACTTCCCCGAACGTGGTACGCAGGTGTTTTACCAATGTATGTTTGTCTAAAGGTGAGGATCGAGCCATAACCTAGTAAAAGAAAGTTAAACATTGTGTTGTTATTGAAAGCCTCAAAACATCAACCATTTCCCTCGTATAAGTATTGAATCAATCAAAGATGACATGCATATAGAAACTACGAAGCACCTGAATTTTGGGAATCAGTTCAAACAATTCCTCCTGAGTCTTCTCTCTAAAGTCTGGACCTTCAATGGCTATGCCATCATCTGTTAAAATACCACATTCCCTGGCTATAGCCTTTGCAGTATTAATATTGTCTCCTGTGACCATTCTTACCATTATTCCAGCAGAACGACACACTGCAACCGATTCCTTAACACCAGGACGAACAGGATCTTTGATACCAACAACTCCTATACAAGTGTAACCAGAAACAGGAATGGGGTCTTCAGCAGAGAACCCGTTTTCCAATTCAATATAAGCAAGGCAAAGAGTTCTAAGTGCCTCACTAGCAAACTGGTTGATTGTACTCGTAAGATAATTACTTGATTCTTCATCAAGGGAAACAACATCACCATTTGAGTTTATCACCTTGTCACAAGCAGCCAGAATTATTTCAGAAGCACCTTTACAATGTGCTCGTAAACCTCCTTCGGGTAGCTCCAAAACTACACCCATTCTTTTCTTCTCTGAGTTGAATGGCTCAACTTTAACAAGTTTACATGCTTCTTTCTCTGCCTGAAAATCCCCACCCAGTGATAACCCAAATTGCAATATTGCTGACTCTGTTGGTGTCCCCAAGATCTCACGTTTACCCTTTTTGTTAACCACAACCTCTCCTCCAGTGTTGTTAAATATTGACTGCAGCAAAAGTTTCACAGCAGAATCTGGGAGTTCAGAACACAAACTAGAATCATTGCTGTTGACTTCCTTACTATTCATACAAATGCATGTTTTCACTACAGTCATGCGGTTTGTTGTTAGTGTCCCAGTCTTGTCACTACATATAGTTGTAGCTGATCCCATTGTCTCACAAGCTGCCAAATTCCTAACAAGTGCTTTGTCATTCATCATCTTCTTCATTGCAAATGCAAGGCTCAATGTCACAGCCAATGGTAGTCCCTCAGGAACTGCAACAACAACAATTGTAACTGCAATAGCAAAAAATTCCAACAGCTCCATTGCATCATCCGCAGACCACCTAAAGAATCTTCCTTGTTGGAGTTTGCGGCTCATGAGTCCTTTAACCAAAACTGCAAAAGTAACCACAGCAAAGAATAGTCCTATCTTCCCAATAATAGTTGCCACTCCATTCAGTTTGACTTGCAATGGTGTTTCATCATCTCCACCTTCACTTAGAGTTGCCATCAACTTACCCCATTGAGTCCTCATCCCAACAGTGGTAACCAACATAGTACATGATCCATCTTGAACCTTGGTTCCAGAAAGAAGAAATGGATTTTGGGAAGTCACCATCACTGGCTCACTCTCACCAGTTAAACTTGACTCATCAATCAACACAGAAAATCCTGAAACAAATAAACCATCTGCAGGGACTTGGTCACCAATGGCAAGATGCACAATATCACCAGCAAGTAAATTATATATTGACATTTTCTGCCTATAACCATTTCTTGTAACCTGAATGGAAATCTTTTTCTTCTCCTTATCTAAATCCTTGAATTGTAATGATTGGCGATAATCACTTGTTGCTGTCACAAAGACAACCAGGAAGATACTTGCAACAATTCCAAGACCATCATGAGCACCTTTGGGCCATCCTTCTGTTGCTACGCCAACTATCAGAGACACAAAAGCACACACTCCAAGGATCATGAGAGTCATGTCTTGAAGGGCTTCAAAAACAAAAACCCAGAAACTCCGAACTTCACTTTCAGTGAATTTATTGACTCCATAAATCTCTTGTCTCACAAGCCGCGAATTAGAATCACCACTAAGCCCCTTAGTGGTTGATGTTGAAAGCTTTTCTGCTATACCACTGACTCCACCGTGAAACTTGAGCTTCTTTACATCGTGGGATTCAACAATAGACCCTAATTCATCAGCACATACTTGGAAACCTGCGGCTTTAACTTCCTCAGGTACAACGTAATCGCTTGGTTGTACACCTGCGGGTATAGTCACAAGTAAACAAATTGATTCTTAAATGTATACTTTTTAGATTATAGTTCTTGAGAAACTTGCCTTGAATAAATTGAAATGCAGCTTTGGAAACCAAAACAGCAACCCTCAGCTTCTCCTGCATTATGGAAAGAATAAGCCTTAGAATTCATAAATGCAAAGTTCACAACCTCACATGCTATGAGAGGTATTAATTTGAGGAATAAAGGAATCATATTGTTAACAAGTATTATATTGTCAAAAGAAAAATAGTCCATTATA